AAAATAAAATAAAATAAAATAAAATATTATTTATACCCCGCCCATCTGGCTGGGTTTCCCCAGTCACTCTGGGCAGCTTCCAACAAAACATTAAAATGTACTAATTCATGAAATATTAAAAGCTTCCCTAAACAGGGAAAATATAACAAGTAACAATGTGACTTTCAATAGGTGAGGAGTACTGTTACAAAGTATTGCATTTTCTCAATGTTTAGGACAATTTCCATTTCCCCCCAAACAAAGGATAAAATGTATCCCCCCACACCATTGCTTCAAAATTTCTGGAGACAGTACACCTTTAGGCAAGGCAGAGGCGATTGGGGAGGTTCAGTCAGCTGCAGGGGTGCCAACTTGAATAAAATATTGGGGGGGGGGAGGTAAGCCCCACCCTGCATAATCAACCACATGACGCAGTGCACACACACCATTTGAATGGGAATGCCCATCAACTTTGTGGGGACCTATCCCCTCAAATATTTTATTGTTGGTGCCAAAGCCCCCATGGACCCTAGAAATTGGCTCCTATGGTCAGCTGAGCTGCATAAGGAGATGAGGATTTCCTCCTGCAAATTCTGCACATTGAGAGAGGTTTGGGCCAAGGCCTTTGTTGACAAGGACATTTTTGCTGCCTTTTGCCTCTTGCTAAATCCAAAACATGCCGCCCCCCAATAAAAGAATCAGTCTTCTGTGTTTGCAGGAAAGTGGGCTGGCCTAGCCTCTCCTTTGTGTCATCTTTTTAATATGGGAGATGCTCTGAAACCATTCCCCCATTCCCCAGAACAAGCACTTTGCTGCTTTGGAGAGGAGCCTCGATCCAGAAATACAGTTGTTCAAGATTTAGCCTTGACAGTAATCAACACTTCTAGCTAAGGAGAAGAGATGTAGTTGCCATAGCAACCTTATGCCACCCTGCAATCTCACAGACAATGCTGGGCACATTGAGACCCAGCAGGGTTGACCTGGAAGGAAATTTACATGCGGAAACCTCTTGAGACAACACAAAGACACACACACACACACACACACACGGAAACGGATCTGGCTCAGCAAAGGGCAGAATAAGCAAACAGATGGGGAAATTCCCCTCTGGATGCACAGCAAACAAGAGGCATTTCTTGGGCACCATAGTGGCAAGAAGCACCCAACGATGAAAACGAACCCAGTCTTTACCAGGGCTGGGTAAAACGCACAGAGTTTGACTGTGCCCAAAGCCAGCAGGGTCCCCTGGACTCACCCAAGTTGTAAGGGGGTGGGAGAGGCTATAAGCCAAAATGTGACCCCAATCCCTGCCCCCTGCAATTTCTCTGAATGAGCTTGTCTGGTGTACCTGCTCCAACTCCGCACCTTCTGAGAAAGCCAGAGCTGTGGGTCCCTCACAGCTACTCACCCAATGCTGAATATGCACATTTCCCTAATACACACATTTTTGTAAGCCATTTCCTTGAACACACACATTTCCACATGTAATTCCCCCATAAACAAAATAAAAGGTTACCTTCATGAATACATGCATTTTCAGGCACACTTTCCCCTAATCCACACATTTTTGCACAATTTTTGGTTAGAGAACTGCACTGTTAAACTGGGAGAAGTGCAAATTTCTAAGGAGGGCTATATTTTTAGTGTTGTTTTAAAAAATTGCTAATTAAAATATGAGCTGAACAAATCCCCTGCACTCCCATCTCTAGTGACGCATGCTCTCTCCCCACCCCCACCCTAATGACTGTGCAAGATGCATTTCTGAAGCAGTCTGGGCCAAATCAGGACATACCCACCTGGCCATTTCAAGAAATCTCCTGTCATATCATGAAATCAGCCTGTCGTTCCTTTCCTGTTCTTTGTTTGTTCAGACACTATGCTAGGTACCTTCTCTATCCTTCAGGGAGGAAAGGCATAACTTGCCTTTCTTTAAACTAACCCACAGCACACGTTTTGAGTGGGTGGCTAGTCTTTTCTGGGCTAGTGGAGAAATGTACAGTACAGCAGGCCAGCAGCTTCCAGGGATCATGACTAAAGCCAACATCATGTATAGTCAAAACCCATTGGGTTCAATGGCAGGTGGGATTGCCAAAGTCATATTTTCCAGAATCCTGCTCCTTTTCTGCCTTCTTTTTAATTTTTCTTATTTTTTGCCACATACATAAAACTGAATGTACATAAGTTAAATGTACGAAAGTTCTGAGCTCACTGTCTAGAAGTGGATGTGGCTGAACCAAACCTATGCTCTGATTTTCATGAACATTTTTTTCTCAAAGTGCCAAACGATGCCTTCGATTTTCACCAGGAGTGTCAAATGAACCACCTTTGCTTAAAATGCCCTCACTAGCCCTCAGTGATGGCACTGCACACCCAAATTTGGTCAGTTACCAAGCGGTGCTACATAATTTCTGTTTGAGTGGGAGGCAGAAGCAGTAGCATCCTTGGAATATGAAGACCAGTGCTGAGCAGAAAGGTTTAAACGTTACATTTTTTTAAAAATACAAAGTAGTTCTGGGAAGCAAATCTCCACATTGCTAGGTTTGATCTCCCCAAAATGACCATGGCACTGTAGAAATCCCTCCGCCTCTATAGCTTCATACAACCAAGATCTCATGCCAAGGATTGAAAGCCCTGGAAGCTGCTTTTCAGCTTAAAGTCCCACCACCCCCAGTCTGTGCACATCCAGAATCAGATCTACCCTTGTCCCCTTGCTGCTCAGTGTATGTTTTGGACTACAACACCCGTCAGATGAGAGTTGCAGTCCAACACATCTGCAGGGCACCAGGCTAGGGAATGCTGGAACAGATTAAGGGTCACGGTTGTGGGTGGGGGAAGAAAGATCTCACCCCTGGGCTGAGGAAGGGCAAATGGGCAAAGGCCCCCCCATGGGTTTTGTGGTTGTGTTGGGGCTTCATGGTTAGTTCTTCCTGCCAGGCTCCACCAGCTCTTTGACCATCTGCACACACTGCTCATGTCTTGTAGGCAAGGAAACCTAGATTTCCATCTTCGCACATGCAACACATAAACCAGGGAAGCCCATTGTCATGCAGTGGAAGTTACTGCAAAAGCAGTTATTAAGCTGAAATTACTTGGTGGATGAAAACTTCCTCCTCCTCCTCCTCCTTCTTCAGATGTGGGCTTAAAAAGCCATGCAGTTCTTTATCATGCAGAAATGGATGAGCTGCAATCCTTGGATGTGCAGGTGTCATATTTGCATTTGGAGCATGCTCCAGAGACCGCCTTGCTCAAAAATCCCACCATGCTTGTCAGGGTATATGTGGAGCAACCTGGGAGGAGGGCATCTATGGGGTGCAGTTAGAGAATGACTTCTGCTGCATCTCAGATATGCATAAAGCATGCCCAGCATCAAATGCTAAGCAGACTCAGTGATGCTATTATAGAGAGCCGTTGAAGAGGATTAGCTGAAAGCCAGCACCAAAAAAATAGTCTCCTCAGTGTGGAAATGGGTATAAGGCCTCCTACGGACTTCTCTCATCTCAGGCATGATCCTTGCAACAGCCTAGAATGAGAAATACTTTTGGAACGCCCATAAGAAGAACGCCTGCCTTCTGTGCCAGCAGTTGTGATCATAGGCACTGAGTTTCTGCAAGAGGTGTCCAGGCCACTTCCATCTTGCTGCAGACAAGAGGTTCAGTCATGTAAGGACTCCACATGCTCTGGAGCCTGGGCAAGGCATGTGTGTGCAGTGCATCTTCTGCCCATCAAAGCATGCATTGCAGACTCCTTTACACCTCTGTTGCCTTAGTAACCATTTCAGGCCTCATCAGATCCAAGGCAGAACAGGAGGATGAGTGGGTCTATTCCTCCCCACTCAGCTTGTCAATGATAGTATTCTCAGAGCTAGCTGGAGACTTCACTAAGCAAAGAGAAAGATGCTCTTCTTTGCTGCTCACAAGTAATCTCAAAAACCTCTCAAAGGGAGGCTGTTTGCTTCAGACCAACACGAACAAACTATGAGAGGTACGCGCGCACACACACACACACACGCACACACACACACACACACACACACACACACACACCCTTGAGCACAGCAGCCATCTGTACCCCTTGTGACAAGAGCCTGCTTCCCTTGATCACCTCTGGGACCCAACGAAGAGAGTGGTGAACCCAGACAGAAGCCACCATTAGAAAGTGGGCTACATGCCTAACATCATGCAGCATCCATTCCTTGGGCCCCACACCTTAAGGTGAGACAGAACACAAGAAGAACACTGGTGGATCAGGTCAATGGCTCATCTAGCTCAGTATCCCGTTCTCACAGGGGCTGACCCACAGGCAGGACCTGAGCACAAGAGCAGCACTCTCCCCTCCTGTGGATTCCAGCAACTGATAATCAGAAGCATCGCTGCCTCTGATCATGGCCCCTCCAGTGCTCAGGTAAGAGCAAGGTAAGGTGAAGCCACAAGGTCTGCCAGAAGATGAATAGGTTTGTTCAGCTGGTTGTTTAGCTGTAGTTGGGCTCCAATTTCAACCAGCCCCAACCAGCATAGACAATAGTCAGGAGTGGCTGGGCAGATGGTGTAGGAAGCCCCCGAAGGGGAGAAGGCAGTGTTGTGCTGCTCCGAGAAGCTGGAATGGTGAAGATGTGTATTCAGCAGTGGTATCTGGATACCCTTTTGAAAAGCCCCTGTGGAAGAGAAGGAATGATTTATGCCTGCAGAGCCCATCCGATCCTTCCACCTGAAATCCGTGGGTGGCTGGGGTGAAACTGTGATGCAACAATGAAATGGAGCTCACTGCATTTCTCTCCACCCTGCAGAGCTCCCTCATAACAAGGTAGCACAGGAGGGCTGCCAGGTAGATGCCAGCTAGTGGATTCATCTGATAGGGAGACAGAAGAGGGAGGGAGGGAGGCACTGTGGCGAAAGGGGGGAGACACTAGAGCTTGGCAGCTCTTCTTTGCAGAAACAGCTTCTCTTCCTGGTGAATTAGTTTGTGGACCACCTGTGGTTTGAAGCTCTCCCCTTATAACAGGCTTCCCTAACCCCTGTCAAGGAAGGACCATAGCTCAGTGGCAGAGTATCTGCCTTGCATGTAGATGGTCCTAGATTCAATCCTGCTGCTCCTTTAAACCCCAGGTAGGGGTAGGAGAGGCTCCGTCTGAAACCCTGGAGAGCTCCTGCCAGTCAGTGTAGACCAGAGATTTTCAATCTTTTTGAGTCCAGTGCTCCTTTGACCAACTACATTCTTTCTGCAGCTCCTCTGTGGGATACTTGCTTTCAAAGGTTTAAAGGAGCAGCGGGGGAGGGGGAGGGGGGAGAGGTGTCAGTGTGCTTGCAAATCCCTTTGGAAGCTGCCTTCTGCTGCTCCTTTAAACCTCTGAAATTGAAGATTTAAGGAGCAATGTGGAGAGGGAGACATGGTTTCCACTGAATTGAAATGGATTCCCCCTCCTTGATCAAGGCACAAAGCTGTCTCCAAAGGGCTTTCAATCAGCCCAGCTCTGTGCTTTGAAGCACAGTATCATCTGAGGCTACCCTGATGTCGAGTTTGGTCCACCAAGGAGAGGGGAGATGACTATCTGGCCCACTGGCCAGGAAAGGTTCCCCACTTTTGCCTCACAGGATGCCGTGAGAGGGGTTGATGGAGACCCTGGGGTAGCTGGCTGAACTGCCATTGTGACCCAGAAGGTTGGGTGGGCTGGCAGGTGGCGGCATGTAAAAGGTCACTTAAGAAGAGCCTGCAGGATCAGACCAGTGGCCCATCGAGTCCAGCATCCTGTTCTCAGAGGCCACCCAAATGCCCACAGGAAACGGACATGCAGGAATCTAGCACAAGTCCACTCCCTTCTCCCAGGGTTTCCACCCATTGGGACTGAGAAGCATTTCTGCCTCCAACTATGGAGGCAGAGCTTGGCCAACATGGCCAGTAGTCTGACCCTCCACAAAACAGCCCAATCCTCTTTTAAAGCCATCCAAGCTGGTGGCCACCCCTGGTTCCTCTGGGAGGGAGCTCTATCCTGATGGCTACGCTGCTCTTGTCCTCAGAAAGTAAGAAGTGGGGAATGGAGAAATCCGCCCCCTGAAGGAAGCCTAGGCCAGGGAGTAGTAAAGAAAGGAAGGGGAGAAATGAGAGTGGAAATGGGCAGAGATAAGGAGAGGGGCACAGAGCCAGGGACTTCAGAGGCAAGGGGAGTTTATGCTGATTTCAAATAAATGCATCCTTGAGGCCTCCAGAGCTGAAAGAATTCTTGCTTTCTATTGGAGCTATGTTATATTGAAGGGGAAAATGTTTCTCTGCTCAACCGAGTGACACTTCCTCTCCCCCCTCTCTTTCTGCACATTGTCATTACATCCTGTCCCCACCCCATGCAGAATCATGGCTCATCTCCTTTTGTCTCTGGACATGCACTGTGCTTCAATTTAAGTACAGATATTATTGCATAAATTATTTCGACTAGCATAAGCGTAATCACCCTAATTGCTGTGTAATCTTCGTTAATTACTGTTGTATGTCATTTGCTTTGGTGCAGATTGCTCACTACAAAAATTCTGTTTGGCTTAAGGATGTTTTTGCATTCTCCCATTAGATCTAGCTTGAACTTAAAAGGGAGGAATTGGGTGTGTGTGTGCAAAAGACTTGTTTTGTATGGAGAAAAAGTTGTTAAGCATGAGTGCGCTGTCAGGATCATTAAAGGAGACGGATTAGCCTTACTGGATCCTAAATAAGCAAATCTACTTTGTAAATTCACAGTGTCCACTGGTGGGTCATGAGCACTGTAGTTCTCAAGAGGGATGGGTAAGTCTTAGGTAATGCAACATGGATGTTTGCTTATCCTTGCCTTAGACAAGCCCTGCTTAAGGAGAGATGGGAAATGGAACCAAGTTAAGGGAGGAGCTGGCACTCAGTGTCAGAGCACAGCTGTGCATCTGGAATGTCCCAGGTTCAATCCTTAACAGCATTATCGGGAACACATTTATAGAGCTGAGGTCCGGAAGTGCTGTTGCCAGTCAGAGTAGACCACACTGGTCCTATGTGGCACCTCCCTATCATGTCACTGAAATAACAACTTGATAACCAGGAGTGCAGTCATTCATATCACCAGCACCCACTTCCCAACAGTGTTCTCCTTTATTGCACAAAGTGCTTCTTAGGTTCAGTAGTCCTTACAACGACCCTGTAAGGCAGGTTGGTAGCATGTGGATGGCATGCCTGATGCTGCCACCTAGTGAGAAGATAATGAACTTGGACTGGCTCAGCTAGACTCAGAATGGTCAGGCTCCAGAGAAGGCAGCCTTAAATGGCAGCCGTCTCACACCTGGAGTCCATTTGGGGAGGCCCAGGTCCCACCACCCTTGAGTATTGGCCATGCTGATTGGGACTGATGGGAGTTGGAGTTCAAGAAGATCTGGAGGACACCAGGTTAAAAACTTAAGAACATAAGACGGGCCTGCTGGATGAGGCCAATGGTCCATGTCGTTCAGCATCCTGTTCTCACAGTGGCTAGCCAGATGCCCATGGGAAGCCCACAAGTGGGAGCTGAGCACAAAAGCAGTCCTCTCCCCTCCAGCATTACTGCCTCTGACTGTGGAGGCAGAGCAGGGATGGATCAAGACCTTTAGAGGCCCTAAGCACGTAAAATATTTTGGTGCCACCGTATACAGTATATCTAACTCAAAGTATAAACAAATTTTATTTTTTTGAAATGAAACAAAACCTACAGTAAAATGGAAAATAATGTTTGTTTTTGTATACTTCCACTTTATTTATATTTGAATTTTTTCTCCCACTTTTCTAATTGCAAAATCTTTGATCAGATCCTCAAAACTAATCTTATGTAGTGCATCTGCTTCTATACTTAGTAGTGATAAGGCACCCTGCCTTGTTGCATAGTTGTTCTGTTGGGGTCTTTAATATACTTCAACTGAGAAGATGAACACCCAGCTGAGCAATTTGTGACCATTAACGTTAAAATTCTGGCAATAGAAAATTTCTGTGGTGCCCCCTTCCCTTGATGCCCTAAGCACTTTCTTATTTTGCTTAATGCATAATCTCCTCTATGAATTTTGCCAGTCCTCATTTAAAGCCATCGAAGTTGGCCTCTTATAGGACCAAGTTCCATAGATTAATTATGTGCTGCATTAAGTAGTCCCTTCTTTTAGAAGGACTTCCTTTTCTCTGTCTTGAGACAGATGTCCATGTATTCTAGTGTTATGAGAGGAGAAAAAGATTTCTCTTTCCATTTTCTACATGCCACTTTCTACATGCCTTTGCTCTGAACTGAAAAGCCCAAATGCTCCAGCCTTTCCTCATAGGGGAGTCACTCCATTCCTTTGATCATTTTGGTCAGCCTTTTCTGAACCTTTTCCAACTCCATAATATCCTTTTTGCGTCAAGGTGACCAGAGCTGTCCCCAATACTCTACCTGTGGTGGCACCAGAGGGTACTTGGAGGGCATCAGCATGGGGAAGGGAACATGTGATCCAGCCAGGGTGGGGGCTAACGATGCACAGAAGCCAGCACATCCCACAGATAAATGTGGAAATAGACCCACAGAATGTGACCATGAGAGAAACTCACAAGTCCATAAAATGGGAGGCCTAATGTCTTGTGCAGGGTTGTTGTCAAGATGACACGGTGCAGGAGGGTGGGCCATGCATGCTGCCTTGAGCTTCTTAGGGCGTGAGAGGGAACTTAGACAAATTTGAGGTCCAAGGCCTCGAGACTTGGGCATATGTACCCTGGTCCTCAGAGGGCCGCCAGCCAGCCAGCCTCCCTTCATCTTGTTTCACTCTCCTCTGGGGAAGCTCACATTTTTGCCTCCCCATCAAAAAGTACAGCCGTACAGCCATGCAGCCCTCACTCTTCTCTGGCAGCAACAGACAGAGCATATGGTACAAATTCTCAAATACATTACATTATCTCTTTAAATTATCTCTGGAGAACACATCAAGGCACATTATCTCACTTGAAGTAGGGTGTTTTGATGTGGCATCTTTCATCTAACATTTGACTCATTCCAGTCTAGCAGCAGCCACCTTCCTCGGCTGGATGCTGTGTGACCTTAACTCCTGCACACATCACCACTTTGACTTTCCCACGGGTCGAGATCCAGCCTCTTGCAATGCTCTGTACAAACTCCTATGGTTGTGTCTTTATTGGGACCAGGGCCAACTGCACTGTGTGTTCTTTAAAGGTCTGCTGCAGTTCATTAAAACTAATGACACAACAGCAGCAATCGTGATGGTGACCTCTTCATGCCAGACTCTCCGTGCTTGAATTTGGCTCTTTCTTCTTTCATGTCTCTGGGAACAAGATGTTGTAGGAGCCAGACATAAAGGAAGGGGTTAATTTCCTTCATGAGCACAAATCACCCCATGATGTTCTGACGGAGAAGCCTTTTAAAACCAGCCAAGCTGGTGTCCATCCCAACTTCTGTACCAAATTCCAGAGTTTAACTATGTGTGGTGTGAAGAAGACCTTTGGACTCTCTTGAATCTTCTAGCGTTTATCTTCATTTGAAAAGGAATATGGGAAGGTGCCTGATACAAAGTCAGACCCCTGCTCTGTCCAGCTCAAGACTGTCTAACTGCAAAAGGCAGTGGCTATGCAGGGTCTGAAGTAGGGATCTTTCCTCACCTTGTCTGAAGATACAAATGTAAGAACTTAAGAAGAGCCTGCTGGATCAGGCCAATGGCCATCTAGTCCAGCATCCTGTTCTCACAGGGGCCAACCAGATGCTTGTGGGAAATGCACAAGCAGGACCTAAGCATGAGAACAACCCTCTCCCTGGTATTCAGAAGTATGGCTGCATGGATGTCTCCTCCATGAATTTGTCCTTAAAGCCATTTAACTTGATGGCCATCACTGCCTCCTGCAGGAGGGAGTTCCACAGTTCTAACTAATGAGATGTTTTGCATGCAGAGTCTGTGTTTTACCACTAAGCCATCATCCTTCCCCAAAGATAACTGTGGATTTCATGAGATCTCCAAACTGGCTGCCTCACTTTGCTTAATGGTCAGGTTGCTCTCCCTGCTTGTCAAAGTATTTTGCCAGTACCACTCTCTTCTTCCCCAGGCAGATAAACTGTGCTAGCTTCATATGAGTAGCAAAAGTCCACAGTTGCCA